ACCCCACACAGCACCGGGTACCCACCCCCACGGTACCCCACACAGCATGGGGTACCCCAACACTGCTGTACCCCACACAGCATGGGGTACCCCAACACTGCTGTACTCCAGAAAGCATGGGGTACCCACCCCCATGGTACCCCCCACACCGCACGGGGTACCCCAACACTACTGTACTCCAGAAAGCATGGGGTACCCACCCCCCATGATACCACACAGCATGGTGTCCCCAACACTGCTGTACCCCAGATAGCACGGGGTACCCAGCCCCATGGTACCCGACACAGCAGAGGGCACCCCAGCACCGCTGTACCCCAGACAGCACGAGGTACCCACCCGCAGGGTACCCCAACACCGCTGTACCCAGATAACATGGGGTACCAACACCCCACGGTATCCTACTCACCATGAGGTACCCAACCCCACATGTTAAGCCAGGTAGCACAGAGTAACCTGACACCCTGATACTCACACAGCACTGGGTACCCCAACCCTCTGCTATACACAACCAGGGACCCCCAACCCCCCACAGAACCCATCCCCCCTTGGCTGTACCCCAAACCCCCAGAACCTATTTCCCTTCTGCTGTACCCCAACCCGGGACCCCCAACCCCCCAGAACCCTTCTCCCCTCTGCAGTTCCCCAACCGGGGACCCCAACCGCAGACAAAACACTATTCTGTTGCTATATCCCAAACTCCAACCACCCAGCATACAGCACCCCCAGAATACCCCAAGCACCCTAATCAGGTAACAGCCATCTACCAAACAGCGAGACAGAGCCCAGTGTCTCCCCTGCCCCCTTCTATATCCCAGCCCTGGGACCCCCCCAGCACCCAGACACCCCCTCTATATCCCAGCCCTGGGACCCCCAGCACCTAGACACCCCCCTCTATATCCCAGCCCTGGGACCCCCAGCACCTAGACATGCCCCCCATCTATATCCCAGCCCTGGGACCCCCAGCACCTAGACACACGCCCCTCTATATCCCAGCCCTGGGACCCCCAGCACCTAGACACGCCCCCCCCCCCCCATATCCCAGCTCTAATGGCACCAAGACATCCCCGTCCCCTCGCTATACCCCAGCACCCTGGACTCCCTCGCACCCAGACACAGCCCATCCTCCCGCCAGGCTATATCCCAGCCCTGGGACCCCTTGCATCGAGACATACCCTCCCTCCCGCTATATCCCAGACCCCCAGGCCTTCCAGCACCCAGACACGGACACGGCCCCTCGCTATACCTGAGCCCCTCGGACTCCCTGGCTCCCAGACACAGCCCCATCCTTCCCCTGGAGCTATATCTCAGCCCAGGTATTAGAGGATGCTGTCATTTCTATTGTTCCTTTAATTGTCTGTTTCTCTAGCTGGACTCCCATGGGACACGTGCCCCCGAGGGGGGAGCCTGAGATCTGAGCCCTGCCCTCCCATCAGCGACCGTCCAGCTCACGGGGACCCCAGCAGAGAACCCACTTGCTCCCCAATTGCATGGACGGGCCAGGCACGCATCATGCCACACTCACCACTAGGAACGCCTCTCCCGGAACAGGACTCCCCTTGCTTACCTCTTGGGGGCTTTCCCCTTGACACTGGCGGCTGTGTTCCCCAGAGGGCGGAGCGGCCCATCCCCCGTCCTGTCCAGACTGTCCGTGCTGCGGGCCTGCAAGGGCAAATCAAATAGACATCAGCATCAATTTACCATCCCCCAAAAGGAGCCCAAAGCCGAGTTGCAGCCACCTCAGGGGGGAGAAAGCTGGGGAGCAGCTGCACATAACACTGCACGGGGACAGATTGTCTGGTGCAGAGATGCAGCCAGCTCTGGGGCAGGGCAGCTGGGGAACAGCTGCACATAACACCACATGTGGATGACTTGTCCGGTGCGGAGATGCAGCTAGCTCTGGGTTGGGGCAGCTGGGGAACAGCCGCACATAATGCTGCATGGGGACAACTCACCCAGCACTGAGATGCTGCCCCACCCCAGAGGTGGCTGCATCCCTGCTATATGACAACTGTCCCAGTTCTCCCCCCTGCACCATGTAATCCCATCCCCTTTGGCTTTAGCAGCCCAGGGAGCAACAATCTCCATGGATCCGGTTTCCCGTCAATAATTCACACCCGAGCTGCCTGCTTAGATATTCTTTGCCATGACCCCCACCTCCTCCTGCAGCTCCCCGTTTTATCCTTTGAGACAGCCCCCCATCACCCCCAAATCCCTGGCACTGCCCGGAGAGGTTGGAGGATTGCTGGGAAAGGGACATCTCCCCTCCTATCCCCACCAGACAGATTTGGGGGCAGGACCTTGTTGAGGGGTGCCAAGGGAGGAGTACAGGCACGGGCGGAGGCAGCTCATGAGGAGTAGAAGTCACCGCACCTGACAGCCCCAAATGCATACGGAACCCCAAACGGCACCCCAAAATCCAACCCAACCTGGGGCTGCATCAGAGCTGGTGTCCCCCTAGAGGGGAAAGACCCCGTGCCCCGTTCCCTGCCCTGGGGCTGGATCGGAGCCCACGTCCTCTCTGTCAGTTGCATGGAGGCTCCGGTTATTGATCGGGGGGGCCTCAGAACCGGGGCAGGCCCAGAACCCAGAACCCTGGCCTGGTCCTTCTCTCCGAGTGGGATGGGTGTAAGGGGGGGGAGTGGGGAATGCCATGGGGGGAAGGGGGTGCCTGGGCTTGGGGGGGAGGGCAGAGCCCAACAGACCAGATCTGGGGGAGGGAGAAAGAAGACAAAGGGTGAGACAGACACAGGAGGGTAACCACCCCATGCACCTTCCCGTCCCATCCCCCCGCCAAGGAACCGACCCCCAGAAACATCTGGCCATATCCCTGCTCCCCCACTGCCTCCCTTCCTCCCACAAGGGATTGTGTAGGAGACACACACACACACCCCTGCACTCCCACCTCCACGTGGGGGGGGATTAAGACACGTGGTGGGGGTTACATAACAGCTTCTTGCAATGGCCCAGTTCCTCCCACGGGGACCCAGGAAAAGCACACGATGCCCCCCAAAACCCAGTTCCCTCTTCCCCAGCCCGGCTGCCCCCCAGATCACTCCTCCCCAGCCCAGCTGTCCCCCTTATCTCCCACCCCCTACCTAGCTGCACCTCCAATCCCTGCCCCTTGGCGAGCTGCTCCCCCATAACCCACCCCCAGCCTATCTGGCCCCCTTATAACCCACCCCAATAGTTTGGGGTTGGGGCTCTCTCCCCCCACAACTCTGGTGTGTGTCCCCATTTCCCCCATCTAGCTGCATCATTCGGGGTTAGGGGGCTGAATATCCCCCCACTGGATTAACAGAGACCCCCCCATTTCCTCTGCAAAAGTGGAGAGCACAACCCCTCATGGGGGGGCTAAGATTGGGTGTCAGGTGATTTCAGGCAGAAAGGGGCCAAGACCCCAAAATACAGAGCAAGGCAGCTGGAAAAATTATAGCCCTCCCAAATAAAAACTGATGAGAGAAACCGGGCACCCCCAAAATACCTACAGCGTGGAAGTGGGACTGCCAAATCTCAGAGCATTTATAGGGGTGATTCCCTTGGCCCCCAAAAAGAGGATTTGGGGGTGTGGGGATTTTGGAACTTGGGATTCCCTGCAAAATCTCTCGCCTCCCCCCCCACACACACAAACACGAAAGTGAGAGAGGTGTGCACTGTGGGGGTGGGGATCCCCCACAAATCTTTATGGTCAGGGAGGTTTATGGGGGGGAAGACACCACTAAAACTCCCTAAACCCCCATCTGAGACATGCCCCGAGGCGGGATTGTAGGGTATGGGGAGGGGACCCTAAATACATATTGGAATAGATCCCCCAATCTGAGAGATACCCCGAAGGGGGATTAGGGGTGCAGGGGAGGAGACCCTAAATATATATATGGGGTTTGGGATGTGGGTGGGGCTAAGGAACAGGTGCATGTGGGGGGAGCGTTGGCGCCGGGGGCAGCATTTGGGGGTGGGCAGAGGGTTAAACAAACATGGGGGCACAATCCAATGGGGACCCCTCCCCGTCAGCCCAGACAATAAACCCCCCCACTTACCACCATTGTGTCTCCGGTCCGCTAGGAGAAGCCGGGGGTGGGGGCCGGAGCCATGCGGAGGGGGGCGGCATCTAGGGGGGCAGGACCCCCATCCGCAGCCCCCCCCCGGGAGGGAGCGTGGGTGGGGGCGGTCAGCTCCCAATGGCCATGGGTCGAGAGAGGCACAATGGGGCGTGAGGGTGAAGGAGCTGGAGAGAGCGGGAAGGCGGCAGATGGGGAGGGGAGGAGACACACACGGGGGGGGGGGGGGACGGACGGACGGACGGGCAGGCGGGCGCAAGGTCAGCGCCTATGCCCAGAACAGAGCCTAGCCGGGCTCCGAGCCGGGAACGAGCCGGGGTGGGGGCGGAAGGAGGGAGGGAAGGAGCCAGGCAGACGATGGACGGAGGGGAGGGGCGTGGAGGGGGAGGCGGACGGAGACAGACAGACAGGGGAGCAGGGGAAGGGGGGGGCGCTCGCTCTCTCAGCCCCCCCCCCCCCGCGCGGGGAAGGAGAGAACGGGAAAGCCCCTGGGAGAGCAGGGCGGGGGGCAGGATCCAAGGGTGCCCCCCACGTCCAGCCCCACCGGGAGGGGGTCCCAGGGAGCGCCCCCGGGGGTGGGGGGCTGGGAGGGCGGAGGCCCCCCCTCGCCCGCTGGTACGTTCCCATTGAGATGCAAAGGGGCAGAGGCACAATGGGCCGGGCGCCAGCAGCTGGGCAACCCACACAAAGGGGCTTCTGTTAGCCCGGCCGCACGGACACCCCCGCCAGGGAGAGAACCCAGGAGTCCCCGCTCCCAGCCCCCGCTCTAACCACCAGGCCCCACTCCCCTCCCCGAGCCAGGGAGAGAACCCAGGAGTCCCAGCCCCCCACCCCACTCTAACCACCAGACTCCACTCCCCTCCCAGAGCTAGGGCGAGAACCCAGGAGTCCCAGTCCTCACCCCACCCCCAACCACTCCCCTCCCGGAGCCAGGACTGGCTCCCAGCTCCGCCCCGAGACCCAGGCCCTTGGCGGCAGTGTCAGGGCTGGGAATCCGGGGAGGGGGGCGGGGGATGCTCCTATGTCACTCAGCACAGGATACAGCACGAACCCCTCCCAGCCTCCCCCCACAGACTGACCTCAGCCTCTTCCCCCACAGACTGACCCCCAGTGCTCCACAGATTGACCCCCCAGCCCCAGTGCCTCACAGACTGACCCCCTCAGCTCCTCCTCCCCACCTGAGCCCCCCCAGCCCGCTCTCTGCCCAGTGCGAGGAACAGGACGGGTTAGGGTTAGGGTGTGGGGGGTGTCAGTGCTGGGGGTATTTGGTGTGAGGAGGGGATTACACCAATGAGGGGGTTGGGACCTGCATGGGGAGCGTGAGGGTGGGGGGTGTAAGGGGCTGTGGGGTGCAGGAGGGGGCTGTGGGTGGACACTAATCAGGGTGAAGGTGGGGGGAGAGGGAGGGAGGCTATGGAGTGGTCTGGGTATTCCACGCAGGGCTGTGGCTGCAAGTGATGGGGGGGGGGGGCATGAAGTCTGTAACAGGTGGGGGGATGGGAAAGGATTGAGGGTCAGGAGGGATTGGGGGGGCTGTGCGGCGAAGGGGACCTGTGCGAGTCAGTGTGGGAGTCCCTGCTGCCCCCAGCTGGGGGGATGGGCCCGCTCTGTGTGGGGGGGGACTGTCTGGGTTCAGGGGTACCAATCTGGGGGGACTCCTCGGGAGGGGGGCTGCATATCTGTGTCAGGGCAGAGAAGTTGGGGGGCTGTGCTTTGGGGAGAGATCAGGGAGCAGCATTGTGGTGCATCTCCCAGACCCCTCCAGGAATCCCTGCCCTGCCCCCCAGCACTCGTGCCCCCCCAGACCCTGCCCCCCTGCCCCATGGTGGGTCGGGGGGATGCCGAGTTCCCTTTCTGCTCCCTACCGTGGAGAGCGAGCGCAGACGGGGCTTCCACTTCTGCTGGCTGTTGTCCACCAAGGAGAATCGGCGCAGCACGCGGGGCTCCATGGGGGGGGGCTGCAGATCCTGAGGCAGGGAGGGGGTCAATGATGGGGTCCAGCTGTGACCAGGGTCCCTGCCACACAGGGACACTAATGAGAGGTCCCTGTGGGCCTTACATGTGGATGTTCCCCAGCTGCCCCACCCAAGGTGGCTGCATCTCAGTGCTGGGCAAGCCATCCCTGTGCAGTGTTATGTGCGGCTGTTGCCCAGCTGCCCCTGAGGTGACTGCACATCAGTGCTGGACAAGCATCCCCAGAGGTCTAAGCTGCCTGGATCAGATCTCGCTCCTCCTGCAGATGCTGCTTCTGCTTCCTGCCCGCATTTGGGAACCGCAGCAGGAAGCGGCTGGGGGGTCACCAGATCCCGTCGGCGCTAAATCTGTGGGCTGAATTCTGAGCTAAGGGTGAGCTGGGTGCAGGCTGGCATGGCTGTGCTCATGGCACTGAGATCCCCTTGTGCACACTTGCTCACAAGTCTCACGCCAGCGCCTCCCTGCCACACATGCTGGCCCGGGCCCTGTGCACCTACATGAGGGGTGGGCAAACTTTTTGGCCCGAGGGCCACATCTGGGAATAGAAATTGTATGGCAGGCCATGAATGCTGACAAAATTGGAGTTGGTGTGCAGGAGGGGGTGAGGGCTCTGGTTGGGGGTATGAGCCAGAAATGAGGAGTTCAGGGTGCAGGAGGGGGCTCTGGACTGGGGTGGAGGGGTGTGGGGGGGGGGAAGGGGTCCAGCTGGGGGTGCGGGCTCTGGGGTGGGGCTGGGGATGAGGAGTTTGGGGTGTAGGAGGGGGCTCTGGGCTGGGGCAGGGGGTTGGGGCATGGGGGGAGGCTCAGGGGTGCAGGCTCTGGGTGTCGTTTACCTCAAGCGGCTCCCAGAAGCAGTGGCATGTCCCTTCTCCGGCTCCTACGCAGAGGCGCAGCCAGGCGGCTCTGCACGCTGTCCCGTCTGCAGGCACCGCCCCTGCAGCTTCCATTGGCGGCGGTTCCTGGCCAATGCGAGCTGCAGGTGCAGCACTTGGGGCGGGGGCAGCATGCAGAGCAGAGCCTCCTGACTGCCTCTATGCATAGGAGCCAGAGGGGGGCCATGCCGCTGTTTCCAGGAGTCACGTGGAGTGGCCCCCGACCCTGCTCCCTGGCTGGAGCACTGGAGCAGGGCAAGCCCCAGACCCCGCACCCCAGCGGGAACTCGAGGGCTAGATTAAAACGGCTGGCAGGCCGGATCTGGCCCACAGGCTGTAGTTTGCCCACCCCTGACCTACATCCTCCTGGGCACACTCACCTGTGCCCAGTGCACGAGGCTACTCTGCCCCCACCATGCACATCCCCTCTTGCCTTTGGCACTAGCCACAACTGTCCTCTTTATCAATAGTCCAGCACCACTGCCTACATCGATGGCTCACCTGGCACTGAGATGCAGACACCTCTGTGGCAGGGCAGCCAGGGAACAGCGACAAATAATTCCACACAGGGATGGCTCGCCCACAGATGAGATGCAGCCACCTCTGGGGTGGGGCAGCTGAGAAGAGCTGCCCAGGGATCCCACACTGGGGCCAGCCTTGACTGCATGGGGAGCGTGCCCCCTGCTAATCCCCCACCCTGCTCCCTGCAGCCCCTCCGCTGTTCCGGAGGTTTCCTACCCGCCTCCCTGCCCAGCCCGAGGCTGCGAGATCACCGCCAGGGCAGCCCCAGCTGGACTGAGACTCGCCAAGCAGGGCAGCGGGTTTCAGAGAGCAGGGCTGGGGTGGTAGCACTGTGGGGCTCTGCCAGGTATGTCCGTGGGCCCGGCTGGGTCTGTCCCACTGTCATGCACAGCGCCCCTCCATGCCAAGCTTAGAGATGGAGCAAGGCTCGGGGGTCAGAGAGCAACATCCCCTAGCACAGGCTGGGGCTGGATCGAAGCTGGTGCCCCCTGGAGGGTAAAGGTCCCATGCCCAGTCCCCGCCCCCCAAGCCAGCTGGTTGTCAGATTCTCAGTTGTGAGCTGGCTCTGTCACCTCCAACATGGTCTGTGGCTGTACTGGTGCCATCACGTCCCACAGAGCTTCAGCTTTCATGGGCTGCTAAAGCTTCTGGCCTTAGTGGTTAGGATAGAGGCTGCCTGGGTCTGCTGAGAGCCTGTGCCTGTCGCTGGGAGAAGGGGGGGCTGCCTGCATGTGACCAACCCTGCAACGCTGCCTGGGTCAGCTGAGAGCCTGAGCCTATCACTGGGTGGGGAGGGGGAGCTGGCCTGCCCCTCCATGATCTCCAAAGTCCAGTGTCCCTGACATTCACTGTTTCCCTACTGGTGATCTTGGCAGCAGAGGGCACAAAGGCTGGGTGGAGGGCAGGGAGGGAAATGCAGAAATAAGAGACAAGCCGAGGGGGAAGTGCAAGTGGGGAGGGTGGGAAAGGAGGGAGCAAAAAAAAGGCTGTGTTGGGAAGTGGGGCGGGGACAAGGGATTTCCCTCCCCACCCCCCACCTGCTGGGAAGGCAGATGGGCTGGGGCTTTCCCAGGAGGCTGGGGGAGAAAGGACCCCCATGCAGGAGTTGGAGAGGGGCTGGGGGTCAGTGAGTGATCGACACACATAGGCAGGGCGACTCAGCCCCTCCAGCAGGGGACAGCACACACAGAGCTGGGCTCATCCCCTGCAAGGGGGGGCAGCGTTCACACGCACACACACAGGTGCCAGCTGCACAGACGTGGGGCGGAGGGAAACCCCGGTCCCAGGGAGTGGGGCCCCACGTGGCCCGGGGAGGCAAGAAGCTGCGTCAGGAGCTGCGTCTGGCAAGCATCTGGGAGCAGGGCCAATGGGGGAGTGTACAAGTGTACATGCAGATGGACAGACAGACGGCTTCATGTGGGCATGGATGGAGAGACAGGCGGATGGAGGGCTGGGTGTGGGGAAGGATGGATGGATGGAGGGGTAGAGGATGTGTGTGGGCAGGGGAAGGGGTGGGTGTGGGGAAGAATGGGGGCTGGAGGGTGCATGTGGGGGGCAGATGGAGGGAGGGGTGGGTGTGGGAAAGATGGATGGGGGTGGGTGGAGGGTGCATGGGGGGCAGTGTAGATTGGTGGGAGGATAGCAGATGTGTGGAGGGGGGCAGATGGAGGGACCATAGACCCATAGCAATATGGGGCTGGAAGGGACCTGGAGAGGGCATCCAGCCCAGCCTGGGCTTTGTCTGACCTGCTTTGAGAAGCCTCCTGCGTCGGGGCCCCCTGCTGAGGTCCCCGTGCCCGCCCCATGGCACCTGCCAAACTCCCTGCACGCAATGTGCAACCTAAGCCGGCCTCATGGCACCGCCGCCCTTTACACCTTGTCCTGCCGACAGGCCTGGCTGCCCCTCTGCACAACACGCCAGAGCCGGTGTCTCGGCTCCAGCCTCCCAGCCCCAGGTTTCAGTCTCTCCTCCTTGCCCAGGCGCCCAGACCTTTCCTCCTTGTTGCTTTCCTTGGGGCTTTGCCAGCGGCCGCTTCACCCCCATTGCACAGGGCCCAGAACCAGACCCAGGACGCCAACCGAGGCCTCCTCAGCGCGGCCGCAGGGCTGCTCCTGTCTGGCTCCCAGGCCCCTGCTGACCCAGCCAGAACGACGGGCTAGCTTGGCACTAGTATTACTCTGGTGACTCATCTCTAGTTTGTGACACACTCTCCACCCAGCTCCTTCTCTGGCAGACTCTCCTAGACTGGCAGCACCAGCTGGGATCTGGGCAGTGGTTCCCCCCTCAGACCAGGGCTACACTCAAATTGTGCAGTGGTAGAACCACGCCGCTCGGGGTGTGAAAATCCCCCCCGAGCGACAGCTGCACAAGCCTAACCCCAGTGCAGACAGCACCCTGGCGACCCGAGGGTGCCTCCCAGGGATGTCGCTACCTCTCTCACGGAGGTGCCGCGTAGCTCTCCGGTCGGCTCAGTGGCACCAGGCAGCATTGCGTCGACCTGCCTTAGGCCTGGTCTACACTAGGACTTTAATTCGGATTTAGCTGCCTTAATCCGAATTAACCCTTCACCCGTCCACACTACAGAGCCAGTTAATTCGAATTAAAGGGCCCTTTAAATCGATTTCTGTACTCCACCTCGACGAACGGAGTAGAGCCTAAATCGATTTTGTTAATTCGAATTAGGGTTAGTGTGGACGCACACCACCGAATTACTGTGTTTAAGTTAATGGGGTAGTGTGGCCGCACACCACCGAATTAATGTGGTTTAAAACCGAATTAAGGTGCTTAGTGTGGCCGCGCACAATCGAATTTATACAACCTGTTTCCCAAATTCGAATTATCTAAATTCGGATTAATCCTGTAGTGTAGACATACCCTTAGCTTTGTATTTTCCATGTGACCTCCGTGAATTTCAGCCAGTGTCTCCCGGGCCATTTCTCCAGATCACTTGGGTTTCGAATCCTATCCCCCAAAGCACTTGTGACCCACCTGGCTGGGTACTGTCCGCAAACGCTACAAGCTGTCATTAGCCCAGTCCCTGATGAAGATACTGCCCAGAACTGGAGCCAGGCCTGATCCTGGCGGGCCCCACTCACTGTCAACCACCGACACGACTCCCTGGGAATGGGCACCTGCCCCCTAGCAGGCTCGGCGAGGCTGCATGGCCCTGGTTTGCTCAGCAGGTCACATGGGACAATATCAACAGCCTCACTGAAGGGGAGATAGCTCATGTCAACCGCCCCTCTTGCCCCAAGGCTGGGCCCTATCTGAGGAGAGTGGGTCAGGGACATGATTTGTTCTGGACAAATCCGCTGCTAAGGGCCAATGGGAGTGTCCATTCTCTCTCCCCGGGGGGTCTAGGAGCTCCTGGGTTATCCCTATGCACAGACAGATACGATGTTTCCCTTTTCAGGCCTCTGGGGTCTCTCCCGTCCCCCACCAGTTCGCAAAGGTGGAGCGGGGGCGTGGTAAGGGGCGGGTGGATGGATGGTGAGGGTGCGTGAGGAGGGGCAGATGGATGGGACGCATGGGGAGACGCGGGTGGACAGGGGAGGGGGTGGGTGGCAGGGTGGATGAAGGGGCATGTGCAGGAAGGGAGCGAAGGGCTGCATGGGAAGGAGGCCAGCCAGGCACTACCCCAGTGAGAGTCCCCGGGCAGAAGGCATGTGGGGAGGGGCAGGAGACCAGCCAGGCACTGCCCCGCTGGGCAGCCAGAGTCTCTTGGGCAGACGGTGCAAATGGGTGCAGGTGGCAGCCCAAGCGAGCGGGGAGGCCCCCACTGAACAAGCGCGCCAGGATCCCTCGGACTCAGGTGGTGTCTCCACCCCCAGGGGACTCTGCAGTTGGCGCTGTCCAGCCCATGGGACCCAGGCGTCCGGGGCACTAGCGAGATCCCCCCAGGTCTCCCTACCTGTGGGGGCTCAGAGCCCATGTCCGGGGCTGCGGGGGGCTCCAGCGTGGAGCCTGGGGGCTCTGGCAGAGCTGTGACTCTGCACTGCCTCGGGCCGCCCAGCGCAGGAAGCTGGAACCCGCAGGTTAAACCACGTTGTCGTGCTGCTGAAAGGGGAAGTCGAGTTGCTGATCGGTTCCTCCTGGGCTGCCTGCAGGGAGCTGCCCAGGGCAGCACGCACAACGGAGGGCTGGGGGCAACAGGCAGCATAAGCACATGGGACCGAGCTTTCCAGCCCCACCCTGGGGCTGGATCGGGGCTGGCGTCCCTAGAGGGAAAGCTCCCCTCTTCCCCGAGCAGCCAGCCAGTCCCCCCCAGTTAGAACACCAATGGGTGCTGAGGGTTGGGATTGAGGGGCTGGGGGGCGGGGAGGCTTGGACGGCAGGGGGCTGTAGGTTCCCCTGTCCTTCTCCCCCCAGTAGCCGTGGGGACAGGAATTGCCCCCACCCCCTCCCCAATGCTGCTGGCTCCCACTTCCTGTTTGCAGGCTGCTGGGGCTGAAGAGCTGGGAGCCCGATTTAGCCTCCAGCTCACATTCACTTCCTGAGCACGGGGCCGAGCTGGGCCCAGCCCCAGAGTGCTGGGGGGAAGGGATCACTCTGCTGGACTGGAGGTGGCTGGAGCAGAGGAGAATCCCCCTCTGCTGCCAGCGGGACAGGGTGCAGGACACACAGCAATGCAGCTGGTATCCCAACCAGCAGAAGGGAGTGAGGTGTGTGTATGTGTACACACCCCACTCTCCAACAGGGGGCAGTGGGGTACACCCCCAGCCGAGGCAGTGTCTCACAGCCCCCTCAGTTAGCGCCCCACTAACCAGTTCCCCCCAACGGAGCTGCCCTGGCAGGATGCAGTAGCTTTGCGGTGCCCTGTGGGGTGGGGGCCGTGGGGTGGGCAGCACACACACACGGCTATTGAGGACTGGACACACAAAAGGCTGATTATGATGGGCCGGGGGAGCCAGGAGCCGGCACTTGCCGGCCTGACACGGGCGCTGGCCCCAGGCCAGGGAGAGGCAGAGTTGGGCACAGGGGGCTGGGAGGCAGTACAGGATGAGGCATGGGGCTTCCCCACTAGGGAGCACCAGCTCTTTCGGGGGGGGGGGGGGGGGAGCAAACTCCCTAGAGAGGAAAGGCCCCCTGCCACATTCCCTACCCTCTGAGCCAGCCAGCCCCCCGCCATGGGCAGATGGGAGCCAGTGCCCTCTAGAGGGGAAAGGCCCTATGCCCCATTTCCTGTCCCCCTGAGCCAGCCAGCCCCCCCATCATGGGGCCAGATGGGAGCTGGCACCCCCTAGACCCCATTTCCACATCACAGAGCTGGCTGCAGACAAGCCCATCCCATGCCAATTAGCAAACCCACTTTTATTACATTGCCTAAAAAAAACAGCAAAAACCATCCACACCTGGCCAGGGAACAGCTACCCCAGGCACACCTGTGCCCTAGAGCACCCCCCCGCTGGGCCAGGCCGGGGGCTGGGAGCTCCGCCCACAGCCAGCGCTTCCGCCCCGCTCCCTCCTGTGCCCCCAATGAGCCAATGACCCTCCCCCAAGGGGCACGAGGTCCTGGCTGAGGTGCAGGCGGCGCTAGGTAGCCTAGCTGGCCCGAGGGGAGCTGGCAGATTCGCCCACCTCTGGCTCTGGGCTGACTCGGCCCTGAGATGGGGGCACGTGGACTCACAGCTAGTCGCCCTGGCTCAGGATATTGTTAACGGCCCCCCAAGGCCGATTCCAGACAGAGCAGGGCCGGGAGGCAGGGAGACCCAGAGACCCTCAGCAGGGGCGGCCGGGCGGCTCAGCCAAGCCCTGAGACACGAGCCTGGACACTGCGATGTCGACGGCCCTGGGGAGTGAGAAGAGCACAAATTTGCACTGAGTGTGCCCCGGACAGCTGCATCTCTGAGCTGGGCAGGCCAGCTCTGGGGCAGGGCAGCTGTCCCATGGGGATGGCAGACATCCTCTGCCCTGCCCCACAGCACTCCCTAGTGTTGCGCCGGGTAATTACCGGAGCTGGCTGCGCAGATCCTCCCGCTGGCCCCGCAGCACCTCCAGCAGTGGATCCTCCTCGAACTCAGTGCCATCTGATTCTGGGGGCGACAGAGAGAGCCCGGCTCACACCCCAGCCAAGTCTCCCCAAATCCCACCTGCCCCCACTCACACCCCAGCCAGGTCCCCCCAAACCCCACCTGCCCCCACTCACACCCCTGCCCCACCCCTGCTCAGACCCCAGCAAGATCCCCCACCCCCAAGATCCTATCCAGTTCCCCCCAGCCCCCATCTCCACTGGGACCCTGGCTAGATCCCTCCCTAGCCCTGCTCAGAGCCCCTCCCCCCCACAGCCTGAAATGAGACCTGAGCAGATCTCCCACTTCCTGCTGCCACTCCTCACTGAGCCCCCCCCCCCCAGCCCTCTCTCTCCTACCCAGGCTGCCAGCCACCCCCTGCACCCCCTCACCCTCCGCCTCCTCTAGCAGCTGAACCGCCAGCTGCAGCAGCTGTGGGTGCTGGGAGCCAGGGGCCGGGAGCTCCTCTGCGGCACTCTGCTCTGGAGGGGAGACTGCTCCCTCCCCTGACTGGCATCCCCTGGTGGGGAGGTGGGACGCCAGGGGGGAGAACAGCCTCTCAGAGATCACCTGGGAGAGAGAGAGATATGGGAGGTCACTTGCCCTGCTCTCTGCACCCCCAGCCCAGACCACTATCATGCTCCCTGCAGCCTGCACCCCAAACCCACTCCCCTACCCTGCCAGCACCCCACCCCACCCCACTCCCCCCAGCCAGCGCCCCTGCCCCATCCTCCTCTGCTGGGAGGCCAGGTGCTCCTCACACACTCCTGCCACCCACAGTGCCCCCTGGTGGGAGAGGAGCTCCCTCCACAGCCCACGCCCCCATCCCACTCCCCACAGCCAGGCTCTCTCTGGGTACTGCACCTGCCCCAGGGCACTGTGGATGGATGACTCCCCCTTCCTGCCTCTCCTCCTCCAGCTGGGGGTCGCCTCTGGCTCCGTGGCAGCTCTGTCTCGCCACGTCTGAGGCTTGGAAGGCCGCTCGGTCTCTTTAGGTATGTGCTGTGCCATACCCACTGCCCAGGCTCCCCACTGAGCATCCTGGGAGCCGTGCCGCTCCACTG